ACACATTGGTACTTAATGAAGTCAACTCAGTTAAAAAAAAAACAATTATGCAAGATTTTACATTCACTATAATGGTTATTGAAGATTATAGAAGAAAATCCTATAATTATCGAAGATTTTAAATACGCTAGAATGCTTAACCAATGTCAATTTCAAGTAAAAAAAAATCATAATTTACACTAACAGATGACAAATGAAAGAATTAAAAAATGTTAAATTTAGGTGTAAAATTAGTTTTGCAGAGGTGTGAAATTAGTTTTACAAAACTGTGTGAATAGCTTATTTTGATGGTGAAGGTGATCAGTGTCCTTACTTATTAAACTTCACAATGTTTTTTTCCTCATAAATATCACATAATAACCTGTGAAATGCGTAATTGCCGCATACATGAGAAGACAAAATATTTGGATAACACATTGATACCTAATGAAGCCAACTCAGTTAAAAAAAAATAATTATGAAAGATTTTATATTCACTCGAATGGTTATTGAAGATTATAGAAGAAAATCCTACAATTATCTAATATTTCAAATACACTATAATGTTTAACCAATGTCAATTTCAAGTAAATAAATATTATAATTTACACTAACGGATGCCAAATGAAAGAATTAAAAAATGTTAAATTTAGGTGTGAAATTAGTTTTGTAGAGGTGTGAAATTAGTTTTGTAGAACTGTGTGAATAGCTTATTTTGATGGTGAAGGTGATCAGTGTCCCTACTTATTAAACTTCACAATGTATTTTTTCTCAGAAATGTGACATAATAACCTGTGAAATGTGTAATTGCCGCATACATGAGAAGACAAAATATTTGGATAACACATTGGTACGTAATGAAGCCAACTCAGTTAAAAAAAAAAAAACAATTACGGAAGATTTTACATTCACTAGAATGGTTATTGAAGATTATTGAAGAAAATCTTACAATTACGCTAGATTTCAAATACGCTAGAATGCTTGACCAATGCCAATTTCAAGAAAAAAAAAAATCATAATTTACACTAACGGATGACAAATGAAAGAATTAAAAAATGTTAAATTTAGGTGTGATATTAGTTTTGCAGAGGTGTGAAATTAGTTTAGTACGTAGAACTGTGTAAATAGCTTATTTTGATGGTGAAGGTAATCAGTGTCCCTACTTATTAAACTTCACAATGTATTTTTTCTCATTAATGTCACATAATAACCTGTGAAATGTGTAATTGCCGCATACATGAGAAGAAAAAATATTTGGATAACAAATTGGTACCTAATGAAACCAACTCAGTTAAAAAAAACAATTATGTAAGATTTTACATTTACTAGAATGGTTATTGAAGATTGTAGAAAAAAATCCTACAATTATCCAACATTTCAAATATTCTAAAATGCTTAACCAATGTCAATTTCAAGTAGAAAAATATCATAATTTACACTAACAGATGACAAATGAAAGAATTAAAAAATGTTAAATTTAGGTGTCAAATTAGTTTTACAGAGGTGTGAAATTAGTTTTACAGAACTGTGTCAATAGTTTATTTTGATGGTGTAGGTGATCAGAGTTCCTGTGATCAGAATTTTTAGAGCCGGCTCCTTGCCAAGCAAAAAAAAAAAAAAAAAAATAAAAGAAAAAAAAAATAATGGACAACCGGCTCAAGAAGAAATGTGGAGACGGCTCAACCCAATTTTTTGGAGACGACTCAATTAATTTGTAGAGCCGGCTCTTTGGGCTTTTTTAGAGATGCCGAGAGATGGATGTTTAACGGAAGGCAGATTTAACGGAATAATGCGTTTTGCACCATTTTAGTGGAGCCCACAGACCTATTACAAATTGAAGCACACGTGGCCAAACTAAGGCCTTTCATCAGCTCACAGCAGGGGACTGCATGGTAACTCACAGCAGGGGATTTAAGCCCTACTGAAATAATCCTTTTATTTCATAAATGAATATACACCAGCGGAGAAGGAAAAACAGCAAAGGAAAAAGTATCTCCCTCCCCTCTTTGATAGAATACCTCGGGGAAAAGTCTCAGGTGGTGGAATTCCATCTTCTTCTGACCTTTAATGTTAGGTGTATGGAATGTGAGAGGTCAAACTTGACCTTGTATGCAAAAAGGAGGTCACGCAATGGCTCCTTGAAAATAAATTTGCTCACATTGTTTTGGTTAAGGTTCGATTCATAGAAGCTGGTTTCTGTGTCTTTATTTCTGCTGTTTATGGAGCCAATACGGTGAGGTAAAGAAAAGATCCTTGACTACTTTAAAGGATCGCCATGCTATGGTTTATGGTTCGATCATGGTTATTTAGTAAGGGATTGGAATGAGACCAGGTTTCATGGTGAGAAGAAAGGTGGCTTGGCTGTTCCTCAAGGTGTATTAGATGAATTCAATGAGGTTCTTAGGAGCCTCAAACTGGAAGATTTGGTTGTAGCTAATAAGGAGTGGTTTGACTCTAGAGTGTATTTCACTGCCCCATCTCTGTCTAATCATTATGGTATGGCCGTGAAGTGGCATAACTCTGTGTCTTCAGGCCGTAAACCTTTCAAATTCTTAAAAAATTGGTGTTTTCAGCAGGAGGTTGATGAGGTTGTATCCAATGCTTGGAAGACTCATACTCATGGTAATCCCATCCATCAGTTGCTGCAGAAGCTCAGAGAAGTTAAGACTGAGATGAAGAATTGGAATAGGAGTAAGGGCATGCTTTCTGAGCAGTTAAATGGTGCCAGAGAGGAATTGAAGCATACACAGTTAGAATTGCTTAGAAGTCCATTTGATCAAGATTTGATTCAGAGGGAAAAGAACTGTATTCTCCGGGTCCAGAATCTAACAGATTTAGAAGAGATTCTATGGGCACAAAAATCCAGATGGATCTCTAAAGGGGATAGGTGCACCTCCTTTTTTCATCACAAGGTCAAACAAAGAAGGGCATATAGTGCTATTGCCCAGTTACAACAGATGGATGGTTCCGTGTCTGAGGACCCTAGTGTAATGAAATCATGGTTGGTGGAATTTTACCAGATTTTGTATGCTGCTACAGATGTTTCTACTGCTGTGATTCACACTAGGAAGACTGTGCCTGCCTGCTGAAGAATCTTTGTCTTTGGAGGGCCCTATTACAGCTACTGAAATTGAGCAAGTAGTTAAAAAATTTCATCCGGATAGGGCTCCTGGTCTGGATGGTTTCCCAGGTTGATTAGTGTGGTTGGGACTGTAGTCATTGCTGCTGCGAGTCATTTTTTCTTCTCAGGTAATATGCCTAAGGGAGGTCATGTCTCTGATATCAGTAAGAATAGACCAATTACTTTGAGCAATTTTCTGTATAAAATCATTGCCAAAATCGTTGCGAATAGACTCGGCTCAATTCTGCCTTCTCCTGTGGGATTAGAACAAACTGGTTTTGTCAAAAACAGGAACAAACTGGTTTTGCTTAGACAGGGCTGCCCCTTGAGTCCTTTGCTTTTTTCATTAATCACTGAGTACTTTTCTGGACTCATGATGAACAGGATTGACTCTGAGCAATTGCAGTGCAGTAATAGTGTCTCTGGAGCTGGGTTGAAAGTTGAAACTCTCTCATACATTATATGCTGATGATTTTGATGATACTGGTCAAGGGCTAGTGTTTCCTCTGCTAAAGCTTATATGCTTATGATATTTGAATAAGGCCTCCTTTTGGTCTTTGGCGCCAAAGGCTCCTGATTCTTTTGTGTGGAGGCAATTAGTAGAAGTTCGAGACACCTTCTTGACTCGCACTACCTTTAAGGTAGGCTATGGTGATAGATTTTTACTCCTGTCCGATGCATGGTGTGGTGGTAAATCTTTGATCCGTAGATTTTGGTGCGAACGGTTTTAGAGGTATTGATCTTCGATCCATTACAGAGGATGGACAGTGGATGTTTAACAGTCATTTTGCAGGAAGAAGTTAGACATGCTGCAATTGCTGTTGTGTTAGTCACTGTAGAGTCAGATTCTATTGTTTGGAATCATGGAACTTCTTGTCTGAAACCAGCATGGAACGTTTGTAGGAAGAAATCTGATGTTATATAAACTAGCTGGAACTTTATGTGCCCTTCAAATTTGTTCAATATGTAAATCGATTTGTTACTTTCTTTTGACCACCAAGTTCAATACCAATTTTGCCTTTATTACTCAAGGTAGCTCCAGCTTGCCTGCTGAAATGAAATGATGTTTAAGCTGCATGTTGTTACATAGACAGCGGGAAACTTGGTTGTGCTAGGATGGTTGAAGACTTGTTTCGGACAAAATTAATGAATCTATAATTTTGGATCAAAATTGAATAAAAAAGAAAGGTTTTTTTTATTTATTATTTATTATTATGCATTTTTTATTACTCCATATATAATATGATATTTAAAATGTAGATAATAAATGGCAGAGGAATTGGAGACGTTTTTAAATTTTTCTAAATACTGTCAACATTTTTTTGGTGGGGTCGAGTTAACCTAAATTTGAGTGATCAAGTCAGAGCTCATGAATGGGCCTAAGTTGCATTTTTATCAACCCCTACCAAACACAAACACACCCTGTATATATATATATAAGCTTATCTTTTAACCCAAAAAAAAAAAAAAACATTATATATATATTGTACTCCGGTTTAGGACCCGCTATTCCGCTAGAATGGGTTGATTGGGTTGTTAAAAATCTACCCATTTGCCACCCAGAAAAATTTGTAAATAAATAAATCTTAAATTTTTTTTGGGACTCAAACCCTCATCTTCCATATTGAAAGTTTAAGAAGATAACATTAACACTATGCTGCAGCTATTTTATTTTAAGTTTTAGTTAGTGTTTTTTTTGAGGAGGTAAAATGAATTTATAAATATGAAGTAATACAATAAAACAAGGTCAAGCCTTAACAAGGACACAGCCTACGAAATGTAGACGGCCCAATAAGCAAGTAGACCAGCAAGCAAAACAACAGAAACACTACTGGGCCCCGCCCATCACCAAGCAAACACATTCCTAGTCTAGGGTTTGTAGATTATTCATGTCCAAGCCATGAGTCATTCCGGTGCGGTGGAAATTAGGGCGAAGCAAGAAGTTCAGCGCCCTAACTCGATCAATCCGGTGGTTCCGCCGGTGGACGAATGGTGTCTGTGGTCTTCTGAGGTGGATGGTTGTGCACTAAAACCCTGCTTGGTTTAATAAAGTAGAGAGAAATACTTGTCTCTCTTTGAAGAAGGTATTAGGGTTTTGTTTGTTCTAACCCATCTCTGTTTCTTTGAAGCGACGAATCGGAAGAAAATGTCAGATTTCCTACCTCATGATTTGTTCATCGACGTCCTCACCAGACTACCGGTCAAAACCCTCATCCGGTGCGCTTGTGTCTGCAAATCATGGTACTCTTTGGTCACAAACCCCAATTTCATCACCGCACACCACAATCGATCATCCATTGTGAACAACAACAACCTTGTACTACTTCGAAGCTGCTCTGATGATGATGCCAATGTAGTGCATTACTCACTACTACGTTCTGAAAACGGAATGTTCTCTAATTATGCAGAGCTTGGGCTTCCATTGAAGAGCTACAGAAACCCTTCTCTGAGGATAATAGGTATCTGCAATGGGCTCGTATGCCTTTCTGATGACTTGCACGGTTATGGGGTGAAACTTTATCTATGGAATCCATCGATTCAGAAGACGATAACGCTTCCTCCATTACGTATGAACTTTCAATCACACGGCCCTTTTAAGCATAGCATTGGGTTTGGCTTTGATGCCCGAACTGATGACTACAAGGTTGTCAGGACTGTGTATCTCTTCTGTCAACCCAATAATTGTGAACCTCCTCCAGAGATAGACATTTTCAGTCTGAGCACAGGCACATGGCGGAACATCAGCCATTTGGGTCTTTCACATAACATCTGCGAGCGGGCTCCACAGGCTTATCTGAACGGGACTGTACACTAGCTAGCTTTTGAGCCGGAGATCAATTTCTTGAACTTGATCGTGTCATTCCACATGGGTGGGGAGATAATGGTGCCAAGTAGCATTGCTCATGACATATTAAATCTTCATGTTGCTAAGTTTCGAGAATCACTCTCTCTGATTGTTGGTAGTTGGGACGGAGGTACTTGTTGCATATGGGTGATGAAGGAGTATGGCATATCAGAGTCATGGACTAAACAATTCAATATTGATATGACTGGAGGATTATTCAATAATGTAGTAGCTGGTGAAATTCTATTTGGGATAAAAGATGGGTTTCTGGTAGCTTATTATCCTCAATCAGAACAATTAATGCAACTTCATATTCGTGCATCTAGAGATGAAGATGAATACTATGACGACTCATTTTATGCAGATGCTTATACAGAGAGCCTAGTTTTACTTGGAGCTAAGAAATCGTGGAAAAGAAGAGCAAAATTAGCCCCCCTCTTTTTTCCCAAAAAATATTACAGTCTTTTGCTTATCAAAAAAGAGAACAAAGAAGAAAAGAAAGAAGAGGCAAGACGGGTGATTTTACTTACTTTTACATCTTCTATTTGCTATTGCTGTTGCTAAGTTCCGTTATGGCTACATGTGAATGTAAAAGCTTGACCTAGCATTTAAATAACCTCTATTTTATCATTGCCCGGATAGGTAGCATAAACTTCAAAATTGTCAATTTCTGTTTCAAATTCCATCTTTGAGTAGTTACAGTTAATTTTTATTTTTATATATTTGTCTGCATGTTCTTTCAGGGCTGTGATCAAGGTGGAAAATCAAAGTGTGGAAGCCGGAGAAGGTGGAGAACTTTTGAAAGAGTAGAAGTGGCATCGCGAACTCTTTCCCTGGTTTTTGGTTACTTTTTGGTATACTTACGTGGTTAAAAACTTTATTTCGGCAATATTTGACTCAATCATTATGCTTTTGAACTTTTCCAGCATTTGTGCTGAAAGTATATGTTATCTGTATTGCTTATTTTTGTATGTCATTGTATCTTCTAAATTTTGTATTGGGGTACGAGCCACATTATATTATATGAATTACGTTTTCAAGAGCAGTTTCTTTTTGTTGAGTCGCTGGATATCATGCCAAGCATTTAGAAGTCACTAGTTGGTGATATTTTGTTGGAATCATATCTAAAAACTTTATTTCAGCAATATTTGACTCAATCATTATGCTTTTGAACTTTTCCGGCATTTGAGCTTGATTGTCTTTAGATGTTATGCTGAAAGTATTTGTTATCTGTATTGCTTATTTTTGTATGCCATTGTATCTTCTAAATTTTGTTTTGGGGTACGAGCCACATTATATTATATGAATTACGTTTTCAAGAGCAGTTTCTTTTTGTTGAGTCGCTAGATATCATGCCAAGCATTTAGAAGTAACTAGTTGGTGATATTTTGTTGGAATCATAGCTAGTTTTTCTTTTGGCTCGGATAATGCTAGACACGGTTGAGGTTGGCTTGTTTCGCTGGCTAGCAATCTTGAGTTCGAAATTGAGCTCAAGTTCATTGCTGAAGGGCCTAACATGAATGTGGCTTTTGTTACGAAGGAGAATGAACTTCTGATGCCCCATTTTGATAAAAATCTTAGTGGGTGTACAGCTTGGAGATTTTTTATTCTTGCAGAGGGCCTGGTGAAGGAGGGGAAGCTTCGGGGAATAAGAGTAGGAAATGTAACTGTTGATGAAGGAAAAAGGCGGATGAGATGATGTTGATTGGCAGTGGAGTTCTTGTTCATTCAGTTGTTCAGTGGGATGGGCAGGTTATTGGCGATGGTAAGAACTTCTCTGCAATCCATTATGCATCCCTCGAAATAGTATGTTTAATATGTGTGTGTGTGTGTATATATATACATGCCTGCTAATAAATACATTTGATCTGTTTGATATTATTATGGGACCAACTCTCCCTAACACTGAAAACACACGCACAGTTCATTCTCTCTATCCTGACAGAAAATCCAAAATGCTAAACCTCCTGAGTATGTTACAAACACAGTATTTCATATTTATGCAAATTAATTCGATAGAGTAGCAAATTACTGTGCTTGTGAGCGCCTAACATTGGTTATCAGGTTTAATGGTTGGGACCGAGGAGAGAGAGAAGGAAGGTCCTGTAATTCCCTGATAATTCCGAGCGAACTACATCATTCAATGACTTCTTGTAAATCTTGTGGTACTCAGCTTTTATGTGCTGCATAGCAATCTCAGACCTCGTCACAATTAACCTGGTTTCTTTTCATCAGTTCCAAACCCTTTCATTGCCTTTTGTAGTTCCTGCAAAGTTCCAAACGTCTGTAAGATGCATGCAATTCGATCTCCTATAGATTGGGTCAAAGATATAATGGTATTAAATGTTATTGATTCAAAAAATGCATTAAAAAATGTATATAAAAAATAAAAAATATATACACTTCTAATTGTAGTATAGATATAGAAAATGGTTTCCGTGGCAACAAACGACCCTATACAATAGATGTGCACTGCTTCGTTCACTGAAAATGCGGATAAAAGTCCATACGCATATCAACCTCAAAGCCTTCGTGTCTAGATGTCCTTATATATGCAACCAAAAGCTACATCATTCATTTCACTTGATATATCAATTTATCCATGAACATAAAGAAATGAATTTTTTTAAAAAAAGAAATATTCAAGAACTAAATGGGAGTAGTTGATGGTGGTGTTTGTTGTGGCAATTGTAATATCAATCCAATGAACTCTATACACAGTTATTTTGGGGGATCAATAATGTTAAAAATTAGGTCTCCATAAAATCTACCTTGCTTAAACTCACATTCTAAGATCAATTCAGTTATAAGATAAACCGAGACAAAGGGAGACGCTTCAATTTTCATGATCTCCGGAGGCATGTTTTTCAATATCATGTTTAAGGTCGACCTTACTCATGGAATAGTAGGCTTGCTTGAACAAGTGTATCTGCGATGGAGTACGAGAGCATATCACTTCAGTGGCAACTTCAACCTCAATATAACAGCATCGTTTGTGAAATGCCACACCATTCTCTCTCGAGCAGATAACTCACTGACAGGAATAAGTAAAATTTTCTCCACCTCATCTGAACTAAAAAACTGAGACACAAGTGCAGTATTCCATAACTTAGTATGTGTGTGCAACACGTCCTTAACTAAATTAATACTGCAACCTTTTGGATAAATGGAGCGAACCATGAAATTTAGCACTCTAGCACGGTAGCACCCATGGATCTGTCTGCACGTTAATTCCTTTACCTATATCCTGTTGGGATCATATTATTATTAATTTGATATTTTATTAATAAATGTGATATTCATGCATTAGGCTTTACGTATATTTGTATGAGATGCATTATAATCCTCAAGTTGTATTATAGGTGATTTAAGTGTGTAAATGAGATTTACACGTAGGAAATTTGGGCTCACCGGTTTTTTGCACCTTGTTCGCAATTGGTGATAAAAGTTGGCATTTTTATCTGTAAGATTGTAGCACATTTGACCTCTATAAGATATGATGGTTTGTCTCAATCATTGGGGTAGTTGACTCTAAGGTAGTATGTTAGTGTGCTTAGAGTACACTAAATTGGATCACCATAAGATCACACCATACAAATTGCTGTTATTATTTTGGTGTGTTCTTATTTACTAGATATATTAAGTTATAAATCCTGAGAGGTTTAGTGAACTCAAGTTTTAGTATTAGTCACTTTGACTTACTAATTTTTTAAGGTCAATACCATGGTATCTTGGGTGGCTAATATTGGAGTGGAGCTCTGGGAACACAAATGCACAACATTGAATCCACACTCTTTATAAGACTTAGAATATCCCATTAATGCAATTTAATAAGTTTGATTACTGGAACCTGGCAAGGGCATTTTAGTAAAATGTTTACTAAATTATTTTTCTATTATTTATTTTGAAATTTTTTTTTTATAAAAGAATTTAATTTAGTGATTATAAGGATTAAATTGGTTACTCAAGGAATATAAGAAGTAAGTATGCCTTAGGTGGGACAGTATTTATTTTCTTTAGGGCTACTTATGGATATCCAATAGCGGAGGGGCTTATATATAATTATTTAGTACACAGGGCCTTGTCGTAATTTTTAAATCTTAGAGTGCAATTACAATACTATTGTGGTGCTTATTGTAATTAATTGAATATGATTGAGTTATCTATCTCTATTCAATTGGAGTTAGGATAAGGAAGCTTTCTTGGATTCTTATCTCTAACCCCGAGACGTTTTAACCGACTCTCTCAGGTCATATATTCTGTAACGCTGTTGCGATACAAAAGTATCGCTGTTGCGATACAAAAGTATCTTAGATACGATACAAAATACAGAGAGTGAGAGATCAAAGCTAAAGAAATGTGTTTTCGTATATAACGATTATTCAATCGTGCAAAGGAATGAGATTCCTTTCAGTACTTTTGATGTTTTCGTATACAACGATCATTCAATCGTGCAAAGGAATGAGATTCCTTTCAGTACTTCTGATTTGATGAAAAATCATGTGACTACTATCTAAAAAAATTTATAATTGCTTCCGTTTTCTTTCATTCCCACCCCCACCTCAAACCTCTGCGGCTAACCTCTCCGTTTTTTCCCCGCCAATGCTGGGGAGCTTTGAGTTTTGCTTACTTTATTTACTTTATTTTTGGAGTTAATGGGATGGTGTTCAAACTCTGTTGCTGATTTTGTTTTGATTGGTGGATAGATACGAAAATAGAAAATGCAATGCAGCGTCAAATTCTGATTAAGAATAGTTGAGGCATATAATATTACTGTTGCTATTATATTATTAGTCCATGCATTTCTCTAATTTTTTTATAAAATATGACAAATGGAAATATATTTTATATTCCCAAATAATAACATAAACACACATACCCATAGACGATGATTATAATGAATTTTTTGTTCAAATAACTTCCATTAAATCCATCAAACCCTTTATACAGAATGACCGATTTCCCAATAT